TGCTGGAGCACCTGTTGGTGTTGCCAGCATAGCTGCTGTTGCCATTGCAGGTGCATGTGCTGGATGAGCTGTTGCTGCTGTATCATTCTCTGTTGATGTTGCTGTTGGTGATACTGTGCCAGCTGGGCTTGTAGCAGGAGGTGATATTGTTCCTCGTGTTCTCTCTGCCTCATAGCCTGTTGCTGTTGGAGTTGCTGAGTTTGTTGCCTCGTTTGGAGCACCATGCCCTGGATTTCCTGGTGTTGGAGTTGCGCATGTTGTGCCTGCTGCTGTTGGGCATGCTGGAGTGAGTGGGGTTGTGCTTGGTGATGGTGTTGCAGTTCCAGGCGTTGTTGCTGGGCATTTCACTGTTCCAATGAGTCCTGGTTATGCTGTGTCTGATGGATCTGTTCTTCCGATAGCAGTTGGTAGGGCAGCATCTGTTGCTGTTGTTGGTATCGGGCGCTGTTCTGCTGTTGGCATTCCATGCGCTCGTCTGGGCAGTGAGGGGTCTGATGCTGCAGCAGGTCTTGCGGTTGTTGGTGAGCCGTCTCGACCCGGTGCTGATGTTGTTCCAGGCTCATCCGGTCAGTGCATTTCGGTGTCAGATCCATCTGACGAGTCTGTATGTGGTTAGGGGGGAGCAGCTGGTCCGAGAGTACGGTTTCTTGCTACCCTTGCTCTTGGGGGAGATCAGGGGTATGGTGGGGCTGGGGCGGCGTCTCCTGCGGTTCCTCTATCGCCCGTTCGGGTGCACTCCCGATGGCGACTTTTGGAGTGCCGGTAATTAGTGCTTTGGCGGGGAGGAATTTCCTCTCCCCTGTAATTTGGGAGACCACCACTCTTGCCTGGGAAGTTATCACTGTAGCGGTCAACTCCGTCCCCGTCATCCTCAATTTCGTGGGCTGCCCAGTCCCATCCATGCCCTGACTATGTTGTTGCAGTTGTCGGAGGGATTGCTCCCCTTTGTGTTTGTGGTCACGGTTTTTGTTGCCCCTTCCCCTCTGAGGGTCGCAGTGCCGGGTTGCATCCTCGGGGTTGTGCTTCCAATCTCCCACGGCGTCAGCGTGCTTGTCCAAGGTGTCCCCTGCCTCCTCGTCTGTCAGCATCCGGCAGGGCTGTCTGCCAGAGTTGGGGTCTCGATGAAGGGGAAAGGCAGCTCCCTTTATCTTATTGAGGAGCAAGTTCGCCTTATTCCACATATGCTGTGGCGACATGAGTTTTGTGTTTCCTTTCTCAGTCCCCTGGTCGTTGGGCTCGTGTGGTCGGTCTATTGCCTGTCTCCCCTCAGCAGGCTCCAAGGAGGCGGCTTTATCGGCAGTCAAGGGGCTCGGTAGTTGTGGGAGGCCAAGTTTTGTGGGCTTGGGGGGGGGCGCTTCGTCATCTGCTGCTGCCGGGAATGAGTTTGAGCTTGTGTTTCTGCATTGGTCACCTCTAGCTCTCCTTGTGCCGGATCATCAGGCTGAGGCTCGGGTGGAGGGCAGATCTGTTCCTGTTGCCCCGCCTGTTTGGTGATGTCCGGTACAGTCCCCAGTCCCCTATCCTTCCTGTTATGATGAGGGGACGGCCCCAGGAGCAGACCAGGGGCTGTCACCAAGGGAGGGGGCTTTTCCCCACCTCTTGCTGTCGGGGGTAGGTTCATGTATCTGCATGGGACTCCTCTATCTCCCCTTGTGTCGGAGCAGCAGGCTGAGGCGTGGGTAGAGGCTCGCTCTGTGTTTGTCTCCCTACCTCATTACTCGTATCCAGTACAGTCCCCAGTCTCATGTCCCTCTCATTTCGGGGCGGGGCCAGCTGAGGGGGTGGCTCGGGCGGCTGGGGAGGCTCCTCTCTCCGCAAGTGGTGAGGAGGCTGTCCATCGTCCTTCATTCGGTCTGCCGCCCGGTCAGTCGTAGTTTTATCTGTAGCAATCATGTCTTGGCGCTGTAGGCCAGCTTCCCGGGTCCCAGTGGTCTTGGGTCGGTATTTCTGGTGGGGGGGGGGGGCTGCTTTGTGGGGGCAGGTTTCAGGCGGTGGCCGTTCCCTTTGGGGTCAGTGTTTCCTGTCCGGTTTAACGGGGGCCGGCCCTCCCCCCGCCCATCCTGCACCTTTTCCGGGGCGGGTTCCTGTTTGCCTTTGAGCTTGGTGTCGTCTGTAATCTGCAGCTTGGCACCTGACGGGAAAGCCTGTGGTTTGCCAGTGCCCTGCCATATCCATTTCCCAGGGCTGCCATCTGCATATGCCCTCAAGATCCAACCCTCCAACTCCCGCTCCTCGGGACACCACCATTCCTCATCTGAGGGATGGGGGATCACGAGACCTTTGATTTTGGCTCTGGCACTGTTTTTCGGGCAGAAGTCATCAGAACTGAGGTGGCCACTTTGTTTGCAGGCGTAGCACCATGGGTCCTGGGCATGGCTGACCGGGACCGAGAATTCCTTTCCCCCTTGGGAGTACCGCCACTCTTCGTTGAGGGGGAAGGGATAATCTGGGTCCCATTCAACTGCCACCAGAAGCGAATCATCCCTTTTTCCCTGGAACAGAGGCAAATCTGTGATGTATCCTTTAATTGGGGCTATGTTTTCCAGATCAGTGAGGATTGCTCCCTGCACACAAAGTGGAGCGAACCTAGACTTCACCCAGAAATTGGTCCTCACCATTTATTCTCTTCTTTCATCAGACGACTTCGGGTTGGCCGCTGACCACGCAGTCAGTTGCACCGGGCAACCCCTGAACTGCAGCCCCCTGTTTCTCAAGATGAGGTGTTTATCTGTAGGGTAGAGGGCCACAACAGTGATGCAGTCGGGGCTATCCACCTCTACCAGGAAATGGTCACGCACCAGCTGGCGATCTGGTTTGATTCTGCCAAGCTTGTCGGCGATCCATTTTACCTTATCATTGATCGGTATCGCCGACTGGGTCGGCTGGAAACGGAAATGCACTGCCTAATGTGAGTAAATCACATCTCGAGCAATTCTTGCCTGGGCTGGAAAGATCGAGTGGGGGTAGATGTATCCCTCCCTGACCTGGAATTTCCTCTCAGGTTCCACATGCAACTGTTGTATAAGGTGGCTTTTCAGCGGAGCCATGGGATCCAGGGTAGAGGAGTTGTGCGCATCTGTTCGAGCCAGGGCCGAGAGTGCCCTGATCAACTGGGGGGGCGGTTTATTGGATTTGTTCAGTCGGGCGTCTACTTCCGGCCTAACGGCACCCTGGTTCTCCACTTTGTCTTCGCCATCACCCTCCTTTTGCTCTTGTGGGGTGTGCGGTCCCCCCACCCTTCCTAGAGCGTTCGGGGTCCCATCCTGGTGCTGCTGTCGTGGGTGGGGGGGGGGTTGTTGCTGATTCATCAATGCATCTTTCCAGGTGCCACCCACCCCCAGCTGTTGTGGCCCTTTCAATCCTCCCCCATTCCTTGAAGCGTGCAAGGTCCCTTCCTCGCGCCCCTTCTGTGGATGGGGGGCAGGTTGTTTTTGTTTTTGGCTCTGACTTTGCTTTTGGGTGGGGGTTGGATCCACATTTTTTTTGTCCATCTTCTCTCCCTTCCTCCCCCCTTGACGGACCTGTGAGTGAGGTGCAGTCTTTGTGAGATCTAGTGTTTCATTGCTCGAGTGTTCAGGTCTTTAGGGTGTAATCACAGGTGAGGTGCGGTGTATGTGAAATCCAGTGTGTGGTTGTTCAATCATTTAGGGTGTAATCACATTCCGGCCGGGCGTTGACCTGTTGCGTTAGGGCGGGCAGGTGTGTGCCGGATA